ATTTACTGGTATTACTATACTTGTGGGGACATTTGGTCCCCATAACGTGATGAATACCAGGCGCACACACACACACACACACACACACACAGAAGAATATGTTCATATACTGTGTTAATATGAATTACCAATAGATGATGGAAGGAGGACACAGAAATGAGACACCTCACCTTTAGATTCATATGTATAACAAACAGATGCATTTTGTCAACTTAGAAGCACTTCAAACAGGCAAAAAATCATGTTGTGATGGAAACCAGTGCATTTATTATTGATTGAATGAAACTTATTCAAAGTTATCATTCCTTTTGTTCCTTTTTTCTTTTGCAGGTGCGATAATGCTGCAAGAACCTGTTTTGGACTGAAAAGCTCCTGAAATGCCACAGAAGACACTGAATCACCCCTAAAATGCCCCAAAGTTACTGAAATGCCCTGAAACACTTCTCAAATACCCCTAAAAAGTTTGAAATGCCCAAAAGACTTCTAAAAACAGCCCTAAAATGCTTCTAAAGTTACTGAAAGATAGAAGATACTGAAATGCCCCTTAAACACTCCTAAAAGTTACTGAAATGCCATTGAAAGACCCCAGAAGATACTAAAACTCCCTGAAATGCTTTTGAAATGCCCTAAAAACTCTCCTAAAGTTACTGAAACGCCCCTAAATTCTCTTAAAGTTTACTGAAACGCCCTTGAAAATCTCCAGAAGATACTGAAATACCCCAAAACGATTCTGAAACGCCCGAAAGTTACTGAAACGCTCTTGAAACACCCCAGAAGATACTGAAACACCCCTAAAATGCTCCTGAAGTTACTAAAAACCTTTGAAACGTCCAGATACTGAAACACCTTGAAAAACACACTTAAAACACTCCTAATGTTACTGAAATGCCCCAGAAGTTATTTAAAAGCCACAAAACACTCCTGAAACACTGCTAAAGTTACTGAAACGTTCCTGATATGTTCTTGAAATGCTCCTAAAGTTCCTGAAAGGTTCTTGAAACGTTCATAAAGTTACTGAAACATTCCTGAGACGTTCTTGAAAAGCTCCTAAAGTTACTGAAATGTTCCTGATATGTTCTTGAAATGCTCCAAAAGTTCCTGATATGTTCGTGAAATGCTCCTAAAGTTCCTGAAACGTTCTTGAAAAGCTCCTAAAGTTACTGAAACGTTCCTGATATGTTCTTGAAATGCTCCTAAAGTTCCTGAAACGTTCTTGAAAAGCTCCTAAACTTACTGAAACGTTCCTGATATGTTCTTGAAATGCTCCTAAAGTTCCTGAAAGGTTCTTGAAACGTTCATAAAGTTACTGAAACATTCCTGAGACGTTCTTGAAAAGCTCCTAAAGTTACTGAAACGTTCCTGATATGTTCTTGAAATGCTCCTAAAGTTCCTGAAAAGTTCTTGAAACACTCCTAAAGTTACTGAAACATTCCTGAAACGTTTTTGAAATGCTCCTAAACTTCCTGAAACGTTCTTGAAAATTTCTTCAAATGCTGCTAAAGTTCCTGAAACATTCCTGAGACGTTCTTAAAAAGCTCCTAATGTTCCTGAAACATTCCTGAAATGCTCCTGAACTCTGAATGATCTCCCCACTCGACTCTGGAGTTGTTTTTCGAGCGTGAGAGCACATCGTCACAGTATGTCAACCAGCACAGAGCTGCCGTTACGCTGCCCGACCTGCGGAGAGGCGTGTGGCTTTGGAGAGCACCTGTCCAGCGCCCGCTCCTGCCAGAAACTCTGTCTGACCCCTCGACGGAGCTCTGAGGGCGGACTCATGTCCCTGTATGCCCAGCGAGAGAGCGAGATCGACCGTCCTCTGCGGCTGGAGCTCCTGGATGCCTTGAGTTTGGCCCGTCCGCTCCGAAAGATTCTCATTCAGAGGGACTTGCCCTCGTCTCTGTCTCCAGTGCTGGCGGTCGCCATGAGCTCCAGAGCCGCAGAGGCGGAGGCAGACGCCGGACACGCTGTGGCCCAGCTGGGAGTGCCATGGCTGGGCAGGCTGGCGCTGGAGGCCCGGCTTCAGCAGCTGGCGCTGGAGGTGCAGGAGCGTGTGTCGCTCAAACTGGAGACGCTGCAGGACGAGGTGCAGCGGAGGAGCGTGGAGGTGAGGCGGGCCAGGAGAGAGAGCGAGTGCATGCACAGAGAGAAGCGTCATGCGGAGGAGCGGGCTGCCAAACTGGAGCGGCAGGTGGACATTTCCGTGGAGATGCTGGCCAGCCTCAGATACGAGCTGAGAGAGAGAGATGAACAACTGCGGCGCAAGCAACAGTGAGTGTTTGTGTTGAGATCAGAGATGCACCGAAATTACAGTAACTGAAGATATTCGTCTGAAATAGCCAAAAAAATAAAAATAAATTCAGTTTCAGACGTTTTGGAGGGTCAAAATCACTGAACGGTGTTTAATTAACTTCTCTGATGGCGCATTTTGACCATGTCAATGTTTATTTAATGCACACAACGTGAATTAACTACTATAAAGGTAAATTTGTCAGCTAGGGGTGGGAATCTGTAGGTACCTCAAGACAAGGTTGCCAGGTCTGCTTAACAAAAACAGCCCAATTGCTACTCAAAGCTATCCCAATCACGTTCCGGGGGAAATTGGCTATTAAAATCGTATTCTGGGGAAGTTCCCCTTGGTCAAAATCGCATTCCATGGATCGTTTCAACCCAGGGACTAAAAAAACAACCCCGCAGCAACAGTGCAAAAGTAGCCCAACTGTCAAGACTTCCTCAAGATCCGAAGAAAAATTTATCTCAGAATTGATTCTGATTCAGAATCGTTAAAGAGAAAGATGCAATGTATCAGAGAATGCATTTTTTTGTCTCCCGCCATTAATGTCAGCACTGTGGACGTATCAAAATGATCCTAGATCAGTGTCCCGGCTGACAAATATATGATCTAAGAAAGTTTTGCACGTTCCAGTTCAAATGTTAATGTTCAAAACGTTGAACGTTTAAATGTTGAACAAAGGAACGATCCTTTTTTATCATTTTGCAAATATTACAGGAATGTTACTTTTGAATGTTCTCTGAACATTCTGAAACAAGTAGCAACATTTTTTAAAATGTCAGACGAGCATCCAACTAAAATGTTTTAGAAAAAGCATCCCATGAACAACGTATAAATAACGTTCTAAGAACATTTTTAAAGATAAATTTGAATGAACGTTCTATTAACGTTATTGGAAGAATGTTTATTCATAACTTTGAGAAAACCTTGGCAGAACGTTCCCTGTTAGCTGGGATGTGAAACATCGATTACCCAAATTGAATTACCGCATTTTTTCATCATTTTCATGCATTTTTGATTGGCATCATTTTTAAATAAAAATGTTACTTTTGGTTTGCGTGTGAATGTTTTAACGTGTGTGTGTGTGTTTTAGGGAAGTGTGTGATCTGGACAGGTTTGTGAGGGACACGGCGCTCCAGGAAGCCACTGCAAAGATCCGTCTGCAGCGCTTCATCGAGGACCTTCTGGAGAGAGCCGAGAGAGCCGAGACGCAGCTGCAGAACCTCTGCGATGATGTCACTTCCCCTCACAGACACCTGGCAGGAAGCAGAGCGTCAGGCTACCAGGTACAGAAAGTCCGTTTCCAGATGAACACTTACTGGACTGAAGCAGCTCAGCTTTACTTGATTCTCCATCAATCATGTTTTAGAGTCTCAAATCTGATCCTCAGGATCTTTTGAGGAGCGTTTGTTTCCAGAAGCTTTACTTTCACTGTTCCTCAGCGGAGGAATGATCTTCACAAGCCTCCAGAACATCTCACATCTTCTGAGGAGCCTTTATTTCTTCAGCTCTCAATCACTGCATTATATGTTTGGAGCATTTCAATCTCATCTTATCATTGGAGATATAGAGCGACGACTGATATTTCTCATATATCAGCAGTGGATGTGTTTGTGTGTTTGACAGAGGAGTTACAGCGTGTCTGGGATGAGCAGGAGATCTTCTCATCTGTCTGATCACAGAGCCGCTCAACACTACAGGTACATTACTGAACATGCACATGAGAATCACATCTGTTCAAACGCCTCACAACAGAATATTGTCTATAAATGGGTTGCATCGTGGAATTCATGATAAATAAGAGTCTCGTGTAGTTATCATTGAGATACTATTATAGTTTTTTCATATTTTGAATTAGTTTTTATTTTTGTATTTTCATTTTAATTTTAGTTCAAGTTTTAGTAATTTTGTTTTGTGTTTTCATGATTTTTATTGATTGATTGATTTTTGTAAATATGTCAAAAGTCATTTTTGTTTTAGTTATTTTACTACATCTATTTAAAATAAATGACAATGAGAAATGTTGCCTTGGCAACTACCTGGAAAAAATATGTTTTTTTTTTTATATTTAATTTAATTATTTTTATTTCAATTAACATTTATTTTATAAAATTTTTATGGTTTTAGTTTTAGTTAACTATAAAAACCCTGGTCTCATAATTTATGTGCAGTGTTATTTTAGTATTTTTAATATATTATAGATTTCATTAATATTCAGCTTTTATTTTTATATTTTTAGTTTTCATTTCAGTTTTTGTTGTACTTTTAGTGATTGTGTTGTCTTTTGCTATTTTTTATTCGTTTTTGTTTTATTAAAATATTACTATTTAGGTTTTAATTGTACTGCTTCAACTTCAACTTTTTTTTTTTTTAGTTAGTTTAGTTAGTTGTGATCTGCTGCAGTAATGATGTGGTTTGTGACTGACGTGTCTGAGGTTCGAGCGGAGGCCGCGCACGCTGTCGGTGGGCTCGGGCGGCTGTGAGGGTCACTGGGACAGACGGCAGTATCAGCATGTGTTGTGTGGAGCTGTCGAGGGGCCCTGGATGATCCAACACACACACATTGATGACGATTCAGACCACTGGTCACTTTACACCTCAGAATCACAGGACGACACACAGCAACACACTGGATACAGGACCTACAGCTGCATGGGTACAACACACACTCATATACACACACACACACACACACACAAAATCACACACACACACATTTGGTCAGCTATCCTTGTGGGGACTCTCCATAGGCGTAATGGTTTTTCTACTGTACAGACGATCGAACCACTGGAGTCATAGGAGAGACAATTCTGAGAGAAATTAATACTTTTATTCATCAGAAGAGACTTTAAAAATTAAAAGACAATTAAAAAAACACAAAAAATCTCACCGACACTAACTTTTGAACACTAGTATTATGTATGTATGTATAGTAGTACATGCAAAATTTACAGTGTATATCTATGTTTATTAATTTTTTAAGTTCATGTTTGTTATTTCAAGTAACAAAAATGTATTTAATGTGTGTGTACATATATATATATATATATATATATATAGCATCACCTACAATTACAAAGAACTATATTCCTTGAGAAGAACTGATTATTGTGAATTATTGAAATACGTGTTTACATTTTCTGAAGTAAACGTAATAGATTTTTCCTGTGCAATGATTCCGTGGTGTTGCTATGTGGTTGCTAGGGTGATCTGGATGGTTGCTATATGGTTGCTAGGGTGTAAAGTGTCTGCTATCTCTCTGTGTTGATGGTGTTGTGATCAGGTCAGGATCTGCACTGGAGTGTGAACAGACCCAGTGAATCGGCTGTGTGTTCGGAGCGTCTGCGGCTCAAAGCGGCGCTGTTCTGTGTGTTCACTTATCTGGACACGCGCTCGCTGCTCACCGCCGCTGAGGTGTGTGTGTGTGTTAGATATATGAGTGTGTGTTCCGTGTGCTTTAATGTTGATTATTCAGTGTGTGTGTGTGTTTCAGGTGTGTAAGGATTGGTGCAGTGTTGCACGTCATCCTGCTGTTTGGACCACAGTAACACTGGAAAACGCACGTGTGTCATCAAAGGCAAGAAAACACACACACACTTGTTTGTTTCCCCATATTAGTGAGGAGATCTCATAGACTTACTTTGTTTTTCTATCAGGTTGATGCTGATAGCAGAACTTTTTTTTTTTTTTTAAGAAATTCAGACCTTTATTCATTAAGGATGCATTAAATTGATCAAAAGTGACAGTAAAGACATTTTGGTGAAAGAACTACATAAATGAAGAAGAAAGCCAAAATATGAAATGCCATGGATGTATATTTACTGAGTGATCCGCTATTTTGTAGATGGGGTCAAAATGACCATTTTCACCTGAGATTTGGAGGTACGTTTTACACACTTGCTTTGATAGGGAAACAAGCTACATTTCTAGTTTAAGCATTATTTGTTCTTCAGACATTTGTCTTTAAATACAACAGGTATCATCTGTATGCAAAGTGACCCACATTTGACTTTCGATCACTGAAAATGGGTAAAATTCAACAATTTGGACTTAGAGCCACATTGAGATCCCCATATCTCTGGGTGTGAACCATACAGGACTTTAAAAATAAAGATACCAATAGAAAAGTTAGATAAGAACTAGAATCTAAAATCTTGCTGAGACATTTTGAATACTTCTTGAGTTACAGGCATGCAAACTTTTGAAAAATGTATATTTATGGCACTCAGACAGGTATGATTTTGCAAAGAGGGAAACGATACATTTCTAGTTTAAGCATTATTTGTTCTTCAGACATTTGTCTTTAAAAGAAAAAAGTATCATCTATTTAAAGTTTTTGACCACTGAATATAAATACATTTTAACAAAATGCACATGGAGCCGATTTGAGATCCCTATATCTCTGGTAATGAACCTTACAGGGCCTTACAAATTAAGATGCCAAAGGAAAAGTTTGTTAAGAACCAAAATCTAAAAGGATATTAAGATATCTTTAACACTTCTTGAGTTACACCAATGCAAACTTAGGAGAAAAACACACAAAAACTGCTAACAATGTGCACATGGAGCCGCTTTGAGATCCCTATATCTCTGGTAATGAACCTTACAGGGCCTTAAAAATTAATATGCCAAAGGAAAAGTTTGTTAAGAACCAAAATCTAAAAGGATATTAAGATATCTTTAACACTTCTTGAGTTACACCAATGCAAACTTAGGAGAAAAACACACAAAAACTGCTTTTTTCCTAGTTTTGAACTGTCACCATTGACACACAATGCAACAAAACTTACTAAAGTCAACAGATTTTACTAATAGACTTGTGTGAAAATAATATAAAGAACCAAAATCTAAAAGGATATTAAGATCCTCTTTAACACTTCTTGAGTTACACCAATGCAAACTTTGGAGAAAAACACACAAAAACTGCTTTTTTCCTAGTTTTGAACTGTCACCATTGACACACAATGCAACAAAACTTACTAAAGTCAACAGATTTTACTAATAGACTTGTGTGAAAATAATATATTGATGCTGCAATCTTTCTGAAGTCGTTTTTACCCCCCTGTAATCTGGCTCCGAATCTCAGGTGAGAATTGTCATTTTGACCCTCCTCTACAAAACAGTGGATTACTCCGTAAATATACATCTGTGACATTTAGTATTTTGGATTCATCACTAGAAAATCAAACAAATAACCAATCTAAGTAAACACTTTATTTATATGCACAACTTGAATTCACAAATACTTCATCCAATCTAAAGCAAATCTCCCGGTCCTCGTGCACCAGCGAACAATCGCCCAAACAAAACCAGCAAAGCATTTAAATCAGCAAACATCAACAGAAGACAGAAACTCCCATCAGTCTTACCTGTTCAGAAGCTTATTTCCACATACAGGCCGCAAATAACTTCAGCCAAAATGGCTTCCTCAGATAACTAAAGCCATAACTAGTACAAAGTCAGCCAGACCACTAGAGGTCACTGTAGGTCATCCTGACCTCGAATGTGTGTGTGTGTGTGTGTGTGTGTGTGTGTAGTTCCTGATGACTCTGTCTCAGTGGTGCTGTCAGACTCAGTCTCTCGTTCTTCACAACCTCAAACCTCGATCTCGTGGCAAGAAAGAGAGTAAAGACGAATATTTACGCAGCACCAGGTAAAACACACAAACACACACACACACACACACATCTCTCACATGACGGTCAGTATACGGTGCTTTAGTAGGGAGTGTGTTGTCAGCTGTGTGTGCGGATCTCTCTGTGTTGAGGGGCGGGCTGGAGGCGGGGCTGGAGGCGGTGCTGAAGTCAGCGGGGCGGAGTCTCGTCGCTCTGTGTGTCTCTCATTGTCCCAACATTCTGACGGACAGATCGCTGTGGGTCGTCAGCTGTCACTGTCGCGTGCTGCAGTCGCTCATATACAGGTGACATAAAGAACCGCATGACTCATTATAGTAGTGTCCCACATTGCACTAATAAATATTAGATATTACATTATTACATTTCTTTAGATGATATATTTACATTATTTATAAAAAGTCTAATATATAAAGTATATAATAGATAGACAGACAGACAGACAGACAGACAGACAGACAGATAGATAGATAGATAGATAGAGACAGACATTTTTTTTAATCATCTTTCATTTAAATTAATTATTTAAATTTTACATTGTTTTAATTAAGTTTTAGTAAGTGTTTTATTTTGTCTTTCATTTAAATTATTTAAATTTTACATTATTATGATTACATTTTTAGTGTTTCATTTTAATTGTTATTTTAAATTATTAAAATGTTACATTGTTTTAATTAATTTTTAGTAAGTGTTTTATTTTAATTATCTTTCATTTAAATTATTGATTTAAATTGCACATTATTATGATTTAATTTTTATTGCTTCATTTTAATTGTTTTTATTTTAAATGATTTAAATCCTAAATATGTTATTTATTTATTTATTTATTTAAAATAAATTATTTTAACTTTAAATCAGTACCTGTCTGATTTACATCTTTATTATTATTTTAATAGTAATTATGCTATATTTCACATGTAAAGCATGTAGGGCTTTTGTACCTTCAGTATTTTTCAGCACATATTACCCTTTTGGTAAAAGTCAAATAAAAGCTTACTTACTGGTGTTGTTCTGGTGTGTTCAGGAGCGCGTCGGATCCAGTGGGACAGGAGGTGATCTGGGCTCTGGGTGCGGGATGCAGGGACATCACGGCGCTGCGCATCGCTCCTCTACAGCCGTGGTGAGGATCCGTCTCTTTAAATCTGTCAGCGCTGATCACATGACCACTGATTTCCCGCCTTGGTTTCTTGCAGCCTGCAGCCCAGTCGCTTCAGTAACCGCTGCTTGCAGACGATTGGCCGCTGCTGGCCGAACCTGTGCCGGGTGGGATTGGGCGGGGCCAGCTGCGGCGTGCAGGGATTGGCCTCTCTGGGTGAGTGACAGGTGATGCGTGAGTGATGTGAGATCTGACCGCGGTTCAGCGTCGCTCATGTGTTTCTGCAGTGAGGAACTGTGTGAACCTGTGTGAGCTGGAGCTGGATCACATGAACGAGCTGAACCAGGAGGCAGCGGCGGAGATCTGCAGAGACGGTCTCCAGCAGCTGCACACGCTCAGCTTCATCTCCACACCCGTCACCGCCAGAGCCATACTGCACTTCAGCAGTGAGCATCTCAATTCAGCAAGACTGACCCAGTGCTTCATTTGAACTGTTTTTATTTTAAATTCTTTAATTTTACATCTAATAATTTTTTTTTATTTTTATTTTTTTATATTTATTTTAATTATACAGTACTATGATTTATTTAAGTTTTAGGCGTTTTATAATTTAATTCTTTTTATTTTGAATTTTATATGTAATTATACATTTTTATGATGTGATTTTAGTAAGTGTTTTTATTATTTTAAAATTATTTACTTATTTTAATTATATATTAATATGATTTATTTCATTTTTAGTAGGTGTTTTTATAATTGGTTTTTATTTTAAATTATTTGTTTACATTTTACATTTTTATGCTTTAATTTTCAGTGTTTTATTTTAATAGTTTTTTATAAAAAAATATATTTATTTCATTTATACATTATTATGATTGAATTTTTAGTAAGTGTTTTATTTTGATTGTTTTAATTAAAAAAAATTAATATTTAAATTGTACTTATTTATAAATGATTTCTTTTAGTGTTTTGTTTTAATTCTTTTTATGTTAAAATTACTTAATGTTTACCTTTTGTGAATTATATAATTTTTTTGTTTTATTTTGATTGCTTTTATTATTACATTTTACATTTTTGTGTATTATTTAATTTTTTGTGTTTTATTTTAATTATTTTTACTTTCAAATTATTTAACTTTTACCTTTTGTGAATTATATAATTTTAAGTAAGTTTGATTTTGATTGTTTTTTATTATTATTAAAATTTTATATTTTATGAATTAATGTTTCTTTTCCGTTCCTTTTATTTTAAAAGTATTTATTTATTTACATTTTACTATTTTATGATTTAATTAATGTGGTAGACCCTGATCTAGACCATTTCACATATGAAATTAGACATTATTCTCTCACACACACACACACACACACACAGAGACTCTCTCTCTCACACACACACAGACATAGACACACACACACACACACAGACTCTCTCTCTCACACACACACAAACATAGACACACACACAGACTCTCTCACACACAC